TACAAAACTAATTTAATACAGATTATTTGCTAGCCGTCTTTAAAAAAAAAAGGTCTTCTCACCATGTTTCTTACTCAACTCTTCTCAGCCACCAAGTGAAAAATTCAGAAACATTCATTAAACTCTCAGCTAGAAAACTTTCTATCCAATCGGCTGACATGACATGTGAATAAAAAYGAAGAAAACTTTGGAGTTCATGGCTCCTTGGTCCTTAGTGTTCATGGCCTCAGGAGAACCAAAATTTCACATTTAAACACATATACATGTTGAAATAAAGTGCTAAATCTCATCCTTTTGGAATAATTCATATGCATGTGAGCAAGAGTTGGTTCTGTATCCAGAAAGTAATTCSCTTTTTGCTCTGTGGAGATACAAATATTTAGGTACAATGAAAGAGCTATCGATAATGATAACTCACCTCAAGATTAAACTGAACTGAATAAGATAGATCCCCAACACATCCTTATATGCAGCTAAATGATAGTAGCAGCATCCTTTAGCAGCTTATCTTGGCTACACATAAGTACATTTAGTTGGAAGCACTGAGTTACTGCTTCTCCAAGTCAATTTCATAGATACAATAAAACATAGCAAAAGAGTTGTCATTAACAACTCTTTTTGTTGAGAGTTGTCATTAACAACTCTTTTGCTATGTTTTATTGTATCTATGAAATTGATAATATAAATCCATGTATGCATACTTGAGAACTGAATTAACAGTTTAGTTAAAGACCTGCTCAGCATAAATCTTTTCCTTTTTTTAATACGATGCAGTTCGACACTCACTGACTGAAAAAAGTCTGATATGTGCCTGTGTGAAGCACTGTTTAACTTTCAATGTCCATGTTACCTGGCTCTCCCTCTGCTTTCAGGACCAGAAAATTACAGTGATCTGCAGCTGCAGAGTGCAAAGCCCAGGAACAAGGCACACAGCAGCATTTAGCAATTGACTTTACATATTCCAAGGGCAACGATCATGCTTCCCTCCCACAGACCCGTGTGCACAATCCTTACACATACAGGTAAGTGCATCACAGATCCTTGCTCAGGATCATTCTCTAGCTATGTGGTGAGACATTGAGTGTAACTGCTTAGTCTCCAAGACATTCTGCTGCGTGGAAACCACAAAAGCAAGATGACAGTGTGTCATCTTTTTTTAGCTGGAGAATATATCCCTCATTCTGCATACCTGTCTTCTTCTATAGGTAGCTAAGCATAAAGGCAAGGAAAAAAAGTATATATATCCAAACAGCACTTCTCCTGACGCAATTGTTCATAAGCATTTCCACATTGAAAGGGCCACATTAAAAGTTGCTTAAAGGGCCCTGAGAAAGCAAACGTGATATCCAACATGGTTAGCAAGCACAAGAGCAAGTTTTTGGGGTCTGCTTCCCCAAACATGCGGTGTTTACACATTCACTAACACTGCTGCACACCCAGACGGCCCATCACAGCCACAGCCAGTAGACAACCACACAATGACTAGCAACATGCGTGCGGCGTTTGACAGAATGCACGAAGAGCAGCGGAGGGAATAAAAAGAAGAGCCACTTCCATAACAATGCCAATACTGTTAAWAACAGACAAAAGTAATTTGAGTCAGCATTTATGCTGCCATCTTAAAAAATGGCAGAATAAATCACATACATAAATCCTTTCTGGCTTTTAACATGTTTTGATGCATGCCAAGGAATRTTAAATCACTGGTACTGTCTGTCTTTCTACCTGTGCCCAGGAATAACCTGGATCTCAGTGATAGGTTTTGAGCAGTTGGGAACCAGCAGCAGTTGCAGCTCTCAGGCCTTGCACCAGTTCCCATCCTCCTCCCAGTGTGAGAGACCCACCTGAGGGAAAAACAGGGCACCCTTCTGCAAATGCATCTCTCTAAAGGCTGCTAGCTGGAAGAAAATAGATCTACGAGGAAAAAAAAATGAGAAAAAAAAAAAAGAGAAAGAAAAAAAACACAGTGATTCAATATAACCAGTTTGCCAGACCAGGCAAAAGAAATCATTGAAGAAAAAATCAGATTCTTCTTTCTTTCTTATTAAAATATAATGTCTCTCATTATATTGCTCATGCTATGAGCAATGTCTCTCATATATACAGCTCATGCTACCTGAGGAGAGCACCAGACACTCCCTCCCATTTAAAGGACTCCCATGTTGACCTGCTGGTGGTGGCAGCCTGTAGAAGGGACCCTGCTGGTGCTGGGACACTGCCACTCTTGATCACCTAAGGGCCACAACTCAAGGACTGTGAACCTATTTGATTCATTTATTGATGTCCGTTTTGCCTCCTTGTCCTTCGAAATCTCACTACTGTGCCTCCAAATAATCCTGCTCTCCTGTGTTACTGCACTCCTTTCAGAAGATGTCTGATGCTTCCAACAGGAGTCAGTGGTGGTTATTCTCCCTGATGAAAGAGTAATGAAAGTAACAATTGTAGTTCTTACCAGAATTGATCGTTATTTTATGAGGACATGATACATTAAACTTGTCCTGTGGGTTAATATCTTTTTTTTCCCCTGATTTTTCAAAATCTAAATCTTTTTAATTGAAGTTAAGTTTTTATTATGGCACTGTTATTTGCTCTAACTGTAATACAAAGTTTTGGATGAGCTACAGTGTTTCCATTCAGTCCAATAGTGAAAACTATGAAAATTTGCTGTGAGTAACTTTTTTCCTTTGTGGTAAATTGCTTTTGAGTAATATTGAACTCATTACACATGTTGCACATCAACAGTCATCTTCTTGAATCTCTCAGTGATTTTTTTCATTTTATTGTAGATAATGGCATTATTGCAGTGCTTTAAAATACCATTGTTTGCCACAGGACTTGTGTTTGTCATTTTGTCAGTGTTTTTATGCATGCTTAATATGCCTGCAGTACATGTTTCTAATATAGCAATAATAGGCTAAATTACTAAATTACTGTTTGAAGGTCATTATTGCACAACTGATCTTTGCACAATTAACTTCAGAACCGGAAGAAAGCAATTTGAACTGTGTGAAAAATCTATCATTGATGAGAAATGTGATTTCAACTCCAAAGTCAAGGAGTTTTCACTTGATTTTCATGTTTTCTATCATCTTTTTCTTTTATGGCCTGGATAATTTATGAATGTGCTTAGCAATTTTCTTCTAAGCCTATCTTATTTTTATATATATATTTTTMTGAAAGTGTAGGTTTGGAACTCTTGAAAGCACAATGCTTTGAAACTTTTTTTTTTAATCAGAAAACTGTCCTTACTGTCTCACTTAGGCGTGCCTGGACAAATTTGCTTCTTGAGGTTTTCATGAAATGACAACTTCTTTTCAAATGAATATAAAAAAGATTTTTTTAAAAAACTATCTAATTTACAGTTATATATTTAGCTATTTACAATTTAGACAAATTAGCCTGGGAGTAACAAATGACTTGAACAAATGAGTGAAAATTTTGTCTTCTTTAGACATGATGTTCATGCTTCCTTTCTTTCTTTTTTTTTTTTTTTTTTTTTTTGAGAAAAAAAATAATGACCTATAGATTGAAGCTGAGTCTTCTTCGCTTCCAAATAACAAAGATCCCTCACAGTTGCTTTTCCCGTTGACAGCACTTTGGGTTGGGCTCAGTGTAATTGCATCTGAGCGGATCCTGTCGCAGTGC